ACACTGCCGTCCGAAAACGTGTGACGTCCAAAAACCTATACGATACTATAATGTCATAGGCGGATCCAGAGGGGGGTAGCAGCCAGCAGGGATGCGCAGCCCCCACCACCCTAGTGTCCTGAAGTTTATTGAATGACCATTGAAACTCTTGTGAAACGGGTGAAAATGAACTGTGCACGCACGCTCTACCCCCAACCCCCCTCTCTCTCTCTCACACACACACACACACTAACCCTTTAAAAAAATGAGTCCTGTACTATTATGAGGGAACACTATAAATATATATTGCACCATGGCAGACAGGGTCATCCGTTCTCCTGTAGTTTGCAGATGCAATATTTTAGACAGACATTTTTAATTATAAACTGTTAACGCAGTTTCGCGATTGCACAATATTTGACAAAATGTACCGATATACACACTGTGCCTAAATAGTGTAATTATTTGGCATTGTTTTAGAGCTTATTAAATAAAAAATGTCTTCATGCTTGATACTGAGTTTGCTATAAGGAAACCAATTTGGAGTTGATACCCATGTAGTTCATCTTTAATCAGTGACACAGGATTTAAAGAACATTTTCCCCACACATGGAACTATTGACTCTGTTGTCTAAGGGAAACAACTCTTGTCTCCCCAAGGTAATGCGCCCATAAGGGTAACACACTTTGACAGCATTCAAAATGGTTTTAATTTTTTTTATCCCAACTGAAGTAGATATCATATAGCGCTAAGACCCAGTCAGTGACAGTGTATACCTTTATCATGTTTCTGCCGCCATATAGCTGGAATATTGCTGAGTGCGGTGTTAAACAACAAACCAACCTTTATGTCAGTTTTTGGGGGGTTACAAGCCCCAGTAACGCCCTAACACTATTTCAGGTTACACTGACTGTAATTAACGTTTCTCCATTGCGTTAAGTTAGATGATTCTCAAATCAAGAAACGAGAAGCGAAGTTTGTGAGAAAAGTAAATGGAATGGAACCATTAATACAGAATACCGTAAGGTATCATAGTGGACGGTTCTGGGTGCCGCTCTGAAAGCAACTTCAGTTATACGACTGTTGTAAGTCTGTTACATGTCTCTTAAGATCACCTTAGACCGCTTTGTAGAACGATATTATGCAAGGATTTTTTTTATTTTCAAAGAAGTGGTCTTGCCAAATTCATTTAATGGCAAATTGGATAGGGTTGGTTGTCGCATGAGTAGGCCTATTGAGAGCATCAAGTTGATGGTTTACTGCAGTAAGGTGACAGTGTGTTTGCTCTACTGTCCTGTCAAGGGAAGGTATGCATACTGCTGCATTCTACGGATTTTCATTATCAGTGAGTGAGAGGGTCGGATTATTGAGTGAGCTGACACCGGCAGTATTTCTGCAATAACATGACTAGCACAAGTTATATCTTATAAACTCCGTGAAGATCCGGGTTAGAACTGGTCTTCAGCAACCCATGTTTATCGTAAGATTCGGCTGACGCAATCGGGTGGTCAGGTTCGCTGACTTGGTTGACTAACTGACTGACTGAGTTTGGTTTTACGCCGCTTTTAGCAATATTCCAGCAACAACACGGCGGGGTACACCAGAAATGGGCTTCACACATTGTACCCATGTGGGGATTCGAACCCAGGTCTTCGGCGTGACGAGCCAACGCTTTAACCATTAGGCTACCCCCGCCCTGACTTGGTTGACACATGTCATCGTATCCCAATTGCGTAGATCGGTGCTCATGATGTTGATCACCGGATTCTCTGGTCCAGGATCCATTATTTACAGACCGCCGCCATAAAGGTGGAATATTGCTGAGTGCGGCGTTAAACAACAAACAAAACAAACAAAACGAACGTCGTTTCCATGTGTTGTTTCAGAGTTGAAATTATAGTCCTAAACAAAGGATAGTTTCTACCCCAAGGGAACTGAGTTAATCCCAATTAATTCTGGATTTGTTTCGAAATGTAAATGTTAACTTACCTGACTGCCCTCGGCATCCGGTGGCGTATTAATTTATTGACTGGTGGTTGTAAACATAAAACATATCAGTTCACATTGGGGTCTCTTAATGCACATTATTTGTACATTTGTTACAGGCTTCGTATAGACAAATTGGCAATTGCCTGATCAATAATTCTCATTTGTGCAATAAAACGATATATTGTTCACAGAAGATGGCACCTTAGTTATATAAGGACAATATCCACTTGGTGTTTGTGAAATATACTGAAACTAAGCGAGCAAGAGATCTACCACCCTTATTAATGTATTATTGTATGAAACTGTCAAAATATATTATGTACCTAAACAGGAACGCCTGGCTTGCATATCCCAGCACATGATTGTTTACGAGAGTGACTGCGCTTCAAACAATGCGGAAGACAAGACGTGGTCAAAGGGGAGATAACCATACCTATTCACGGTGAGGTGAGGTGAAATTGGGTTTAACGTCGTGCTTGAGAATATTTCCCTCAAATGACGACGTGCTTGCGTGTGTATGTGCGGCTGCTTGTACTAGCCCAGACTTAAGCTGGTTTTATAGTGCTAGCTCACTGAGATACCATGCCGCAGTGAAGCATGAATACCCCACTCAGACACATTATACTGACTCCGAGCCGACCAGTCCTTGTTGTACCCATTAATGCCGAGCGCCAGGCATGGACCAACAATTACCATATTTTAACGTCTTCTGTATGACGCGGTCGGGGATCGAACCCGCGACCTTCCGCTCTCCGGGAGGACGCTCTAACCACTACACCACGGAGGCGGTACCTATTCACGAAAAGCCCATGAAGACAGGTTTCCTACATATATGGAATGTTTATATATGATCTTACATAACATTGTCCTGGTCAAATATCCTCTAAGAATTACTATTGAATCTTATAATTAATAATTTACATCATCCTGGTTAATTTAGCAGTAAACTCTCAAAACAAACAAAACGAACGTCGTTTCCGTGTTGTTTCAGAGTTGAAATAATAGTCCCAAAACAAAGGATAGTTTCTACCCCAAGGGAACTGAGTTAATCCCAATTAATTCTGGATTTGTTTCGAAATGTAAATGTTAACTTACCTGACTGCCCTCGCATCCGTTGGCGTATTAATTTATTGACTGATGGTTGCAAACATAAAACATATCAGTTCACATTGGGGTCTCTTAATGCACATTATTTGTACATTTGTTACAGGCTTCGTATAGACAAATTGGCAATTGCCTGATCAATAATTCTCATTTGTGCAATAAAACGATATATTGTTCACAGAAGATGGCACCTTTGTTATATAAGGACAATATTCACTTGGTGTTTGTGAAATATACTGAAACTAAGCGAGCAAGAGATCTACGACCCTTATTAATGTATTATTGTATGAAACTGTCAAAATATATTATGTACCTAAACAGGAACGCCTGGCTTGCATATCCCAGCACGATTGTTTACGAGAGTGACTGCGCTTCAAACAATGCGGAAGACAAGACGTGGTCAAAGGGAGATAACCATACCTATTCACGGTGAGGTGAGGTGAAATTGGGTAATGTGTATGTGCGGCTGCTTGTACTAGTCCAGACTTAAGATGGTTTTATAGTGCTAGCTCACTGAGATACCATGCCGTAGTGAAGCATGAATACCCTACTCAGACACATTATACTGACTCCGAGCCGACCAGTCCTTGTTGTACCCATTAATGCCGAGCGCCAGGCAGGGACCAACAAGTACCATATTTTAACGTCTTCTGTATGACGCGGTCGGGGATCAAACCCGCGACCTTCCGCTCTCCGGGCGGACGCTCTAACCACTACACCACGGAGGCGGTACCTATTCACGAAAAGCCCATGAAGACAGGTTTCCTACATATATGGAATGTTTATATATGATCTTACATAACATTGTCCTGGTCAAATATCCTCTAAGAATTACTATTGAATCTTATAATTAATAATTTATATCATCCTGGTTAATTTAGCAATAAACTCTCAAAACAAACAAAAAATACTCATTACGTTTAGATAAAGAATATACACTGGCGACTGGAAAGAAATTGAGCGAAGAAATGTTGCTTCGTGGTGTTGGCATCAATGTTCCAGTTATTTCAATGAAGCCTGGAACTTTGGTGCAGGTAAATCACTTACTGACTCCAGGGGCACCAGTTCACACAGATAACACTCAACCAAACTCTGGAAAACACGTTTCTTAAAGCCTGCTCTAACAGGGACTATGTAATACTGAGTCAGATAGGTTTGATGTGGCTTTGAACAATATCATACAGCCTGCCAGCTCAACTGGTGTGAGAGGAAGCATGAGGTGTTACAGGTCTTAGATGTAGCCACTTTGGTGAAGCTGTAGAGCTGACAAACGAAGAAACACAATCAGGGTCAACTGGAAATTCGAACATCAGCATAGGTTTCTGACATGTCAAAGGGAGACAACTCTGCGTAAAGACCAATAGCAGTGCCTTCAACAATTGGACATGGCTGACTTGGTTGATGCTTGTCATCCTAATCTTCTTGGGTAAAATTGTCTAGTTCTCACTCAGTTGTTTACAGAAGGAAGTCTTGCAGCTGGAATATTGCTTATACAGTGTTAAACCACAAATCAACCAAACTGGGTGTCTGTTTGTATTATTCCAAACAAAACCTGGTTTTACAGAGCTTGGCCTCTGAGATGCCATCCACAGTTCAATATGATACTCAGTTACATTATACTGACTGAGCTGATCTGCCCTATTGTTTTTAGTCCTTGTGGTTTCCTGAACACTCTCAAAAGTTAAATGGAACTTTTGAATTCTGACTTTGGGAGTGTTTGATGCAGCTTTGAATAGTATTTCAGTCCACCACTCTGCAGGCAAAGGGAGACAATCCCCCCTGGCAATACAAAGACACGAACTCTCCACAGTGAATTTTGCGAGTCAAGAAATAGGATCAAAATAATGTGTCAGCTGATTCATCTCAAACTCATATCATCTTATTTCTTCAATGGATGTCTGGTGCTAAGAAATAAGAATGCAATACACATTGTTTCATATTTTATTCCATATATCTTTAACAGTAAATATACTATAACATCACTGATAGTATGTACATATCAAATATCAGTTATGGATAGGCAGTATGCAAGAATTTATTATGTGTTTGTTGAAACAAGTTTCTTTCTAAAACCATAATTCCATGGTACTACCACACTGAATAGTTCCTCATGGTTTTGTTTAATTCTAAATCCCAAGAATAGTTACATTTGTTCAGACAAACCAAGAATGTATCTAAGAAGAAAACATAGTGCTTTTTATGTCTTTTGTAAGTACAAAATATGTGGAATGTGAAATGACAGTTTGGAAATTTTCACCACATTAATCAACCAAAGTGAAGATGTTCCAAACATACAGAGTGAGTTGGGTTTATCACTGTTTTTAACAGCCTCCAGTTAATTCACAGTGTGTCAGCAAAACGGTCTTAAGCGGTCTTAAGATGTTTACCACCTTGGCAAAACCCATGATCACAGATACGGTGATCTTAATTTACATATCTTAACACCAACTTACGACAGTTTTAGCACTGTGGTTGTTTTGTATCCTGTTCTGATTTGTAGTATCCTGTTCTGATTTGGAATACCAATGGTGTACAGTTCAGTAGTCTATTCATAAATAACATCCTGTACAACACCAGAAAACATCCCCAATGCATCACTTGCCTCATCCTCTTCACCAACAAACCATGTATAAATAAATGTTGGCATGCACTCTATTGACAACACAGGATGTATCTCCAGGTAGCAAGCACATCTATTTCAGAACACTTGCCTCTGGATACACAATAAAATCAATAAACAACAGTAACAGACATACACCTCGATTTCACTGTCAGCATCCACTCTGTATCACAACACTTCCTCATCCACTGTAGAGAGTTTACAGTTATAGTGGTCTTATCAACCTGTGAGATACTTCCTGCCAAAGAATTGGGACTTTCTTCTCAAATGGGGACGACTTGATAGGAGTGTTGATTTCATAGAAAGGATTCATGGCCAACTGGAACAAAATCAAATATACATGACAAATAGAGATCTACTTCCTTAAGAGCAATAGTTCATCGCTTACACAGACAGCAAATAATAAGACATGCTTAATTGTTTTAATAATATTCATAGTAACTTCCTGTTCTTTATAGAAGAGACATACTAAGGCAAGAAAACTATGTCAGTCTTCAAGTTCCAAGAAGCTGTGTCTGTGTGGCAGACTGCATGAGTCAATGACCATCTCATGTCTGACAACTGATTACCCCCAACAAACTAATAATACCAGTTGGGTAACCTAGTGGTTAAAGCATTTGCTCATCACGCCGAAGACCCAGGTTCGATTCCCCACATGGGTACAATGTGTGAAGCCATTTCTGGTGTCCCCTGTCGTGATTTTGCTGAATGATTGCTAAAAGCAGCCTAAAACCATACTCAATCACTCACTAATAATAATACCAGCATAAATATGAAACATGGCCAGACAATGTTGGTCCCATTCTTATGAAGCTTTAATGGAGTGGTTGCCAGTGTACAATGGTATTTGATATTGGTTTTAAAATAGTACATATATAAGGCTCTCTATCACCTATATATGTCCAGATGATCAAATGGTTACAAGGTAACATTGTAATGTTAAACCCCACACTCAGCATTATCCAGTTAGGTCACTGTGACCTATTACCACTCAGGTCTGGACCACACAAACCACAGCTCATCATTTTGTTTTACTTCATCAAAATACAACCAATCTGTCATTTTCATTTTTCATATTTATAATATAGAATAACATTCCTGAATTATACATCAAAATCACAGACATGCAGTTTCTGCAAAATATTAACAAAAAGGACATCCCATCAAAATATATCACTATATCATAAAAGCACAGACTTATACTGGCTAGTGCAAGCTCAGACAAAAGGTTACACTTACCTTTACATAGGTATCATATGTTTCTGTGAAGAAGTTCTTTATTCCATCTTCATTCTTAATATCATGGAGCATCAACAGTCTCATTCCTGGAATACTGTTAAGGAAATGTGGAAGTAGGTCCTTACATACTTTCCTCATTCAGCTTAGTCAGGGAAATGACAAGTCTAATATGAAAATAATTTCTATCTCTCGAAAATAAAAAAACACTATACTAGAGGCTAAATACTAATTGTAATGAAAAACTATTACACTCGCGTAACCTTGATTCTTGGATATAAGGGAAGTGCGGCGAAATTCATATTTTAAATGCATGATTTCATTTTGTATACGCACTGATTATTTTATTCATTGATTCAGCAAATTGAAAATGCCTAATATTCTACTCGTGAATAAAACGTTTGTTTACGGAAGCCATTTGCAATCATCACCCATTCGTGTGCCCACAAAATGTGACGTCACCTTGTTTTGTGGATTACGTAGTCGGTTACTTTATACCACTATGTACGACATCCCACTGCAGTAAGTATTGACACCAAGGAAAGCAGACAACGACAAGTGAAAAGGTTGGAGCTGGCGGTATCTTTTTTACTTGACATTTTGTAAAAATAAAATTTGGTAATGGTGGTATTAGTGATATGGGGCTATTTATCTCAATGCTGGACAATTATATTTTGTGTACTTGCGTGTAATGCAGAAATTCGGAACTTTTTTGTCAGCGAGGCGTGGCATTGTATGTACATCAAAAGTACTGCTTCGTGACGTCAGTCGATACTTAATTTACGAGCTAGCATGATAATTTCCGCGATCCACGAATCAAGGTTATCCACAAATTTAGGTTACGGTTCTGTAAATTAACAATTTACTTGATTATCAACTTTAATAACAATAGTCTGTCGTTATGTCACAGGTGACGTGTGTGTGAAAGAAAATTAAAGCTGTGTAGCTGCAGTTTTGGGGGACAACAACATTTTACATTGGTCAATTTTGACTCAAATATGATGCCATGTAAGCAATAAACATTGAAAACTATAAGGACTTGAACTTATTGTGAGGGCACCTACACCTATCACTGTAATGATCCTTCAAAGGGAATCAACTGTTTCTACTGAATAAAACTGGACTAAAACTTACTGAGAAAATCAGAACCCTGTAATTCTCTATTTACCAAATTATTTATCATTCACACATATACCTTGTATACGGCATGGTGGAGGTTTCCCATATCACTAGTTTGTTATATAACTGTCATTTATCATAGAAATATCCATGAAAGGGTTTAGCCGAGATGAACCACAGACAAGGTATTTAGACCATCAAGAGTTAGCCCCCTTACATAATGAAGCATCCCTAAAATCTTACTTAATTAACCATGACTAACAATGTCTCTTAATATGTTGCCCACTATAAGACGGCCATTAGATCTACTTGACCACTCCTTGAACTCGTAAGTAATTTGCAAGGATACTCCCAGCTGTCACAAATGCTGACACAAACCACTCGTTGAACTTGTCCACGATCTTGAGATACATGTTGTTGGTGACCCACATTTGCTCATCAACCAGATCAAGAGCAGCATGCGCAATAAACTGGTTTAGGTGACGATGATCATCCCTCTGTAGGATAGAGAAACTGGTTTAATATTCTTATGATCATTTCGCTGATAGGAGGTTCCAGCAAATACAGGTAGTGTACCTATGAATTTTTCTCTTAAAAATTTAATTCAGAGGGTTACTGTTTGATCAACTGATAAGTCTTTTCAGGTTTTCATGCACCATATGTACATGCAGGTAGCTGTAAGGAAAGCAGTATACACTAGGGAGCGGCTCTTATTTTCATGCATGTACATAATGATAATTAACATCACAAATATGAAACAAGTAGGAAATGTTGTTGCTATAAATAATTGATATAAAATATTACAAACCTGTTTACAAACCTGTTTAAATACCCAGTAAATGCCTTGCATGTCAGAGAAAGCTTACCTTAGGATCATTTGCCTTATTGGGAGGACAAAATTCCATCTCAAATATTGGGTTGTCATAGTGTCCCACTATGACAAAGTAGTAGTTTCCTGACATCCTTTAAACACTTCCAATCTACAAACAGAAAATAATATCTCACAAGGCAGTCATAAACATGATTTGGTTCTCATAAAGTGTGAAAATCGTATCAGAAAGAATGTGGTTTTATAGCTGCTATGAAAATATTTGTGAAATCATGGTAACTTGTCTTATGGTTATTGGACTTGAAAACAAACTGATGCTGGTTGTAGACTTGTAGCGATCAAGAATTTGACCAACAATTCAGTTTTCCTGTCATAATTTTGTAAGGCATATTGATCAGAAAATGTTCTTCCCTTTGCTGAAGTCCATGTGAATCATTGTTGTCCTCTGTAATACATGGTATACTTTGACTGTGTGTTTAAGTATGCCTGTTGAAAGCTGAACTCAGTAGTATGACACCTACAGTTAGAAACGGCATGGTACTCTGTATATAGTCGAGGGCAAGACACGAGACTCTGCTTGATATGAGCAACGGTCCACTTGCTTGACACATCACCAAAGAAGGCAGGCTTAGATTTAGTTGTCTGACGAACACGATTAAATTGATTCATCGGTGCACTAAATACAAATTTTCATTCAAATCTATCACGTCCCCACTAAAAACTTTAAGATTGCCATGTCCAGTTCCCACCTAATTCACAAAACTCATCTGTCAGCTGTGCATGATCTCGCCTCCACAACTGCAACACACGACATTTGAGTCATCTACACCCATCCCTGTATACAAAGAAGGGGTGCAAACAATCCCAGGATTTCACAGCGATGCATGAAAGGCTAGCAGTATACCTTGGTGTTTATATATAAACAGTGCCGACACAAAAGGAGCTGCAGGGACACCCAACTGTTTGCTTTACATCTGCCTGTTCACCAAACTTGACAGACACCCTCCCTCTGAGAAAACCGGAAGTGATGTAGAAACTTGCCGCTGAACCGAACAACATTCTTCAGTGATCATTTGAAAATAGTTCCACTTAAAATACGTGATTCGTAAACTGGCATATCACCTCAATATATGTCATGATCACTAGAGTAGTAGACGTATTTGCTCCCCATGTTTCAGGATACAAACTGATCACTGATTTTCACACTGATATGTTGAAGCGCGCACTCTTGTATTCATACGCAGGCGTCCAAAATGGCGACGAATTCTGCAGCTCTGAACGCTGTTGCTTGATACGGTTTCGTGTTCTGAACACTTTCGTTCAAGGTACATAACCTACCGATGATCAAAACAATGTTGTATTATGTGCCTTTGATGTTGAAAAGGGATACTGTTGTTGATGACATTAAGCGCAGAAGATATTTTGTCTGTTCGTGTTGGAAATGCAGAAATTCCAAAATGTGATCTGACATGCTCCATGTCAACCAGCACGAAGATCCAGCAAACGGCAGTAGATCTATGAATGTAACTTGCAAAAGTCATGCAGTATTTTCATTCAATTTGTTCTCTTGATGTTAAATGGGAACTTGAATACTTTATTTCTCGTAAGATGTGTGTTAAGTCATACCAGACACTTTATAAGCTACTTTCTGTCTTCCCATCTGTCTGCAAGTGAAATGACGCATGATGCCATTCAAAATGTCTTGCATTTCTTAGCCATACGATATATACCTTTGTCGTAATTTCTGAAAAAAAGCTATTCGAATTTTAACACCATAAAAATTAGCATCAAGAAACCCGTCAGACATTTTTCGCTGACGCATTGTAGCTAGTTCTCGTCAGTTACGAGGCGACAAGTAACCCCAATTAAGTTATTACCAGATTGTTTACCCTTTTATACATGCACAGTAGCTATACTTCTGATAGATTTACATCAAGTTACTTAGGATTAATTCATTAAGATAAGTGGGTCATTGAATTCCCTGATCCTGAAAACCTCTTGCATTTTGTCATCTCTTACAAGTATCAGGTAAACTTGAGATTCATTTCATTACACTGTTTTTAAGAAAAATGTATGAGGATAGGTTATTTCAATTTTCCCACTACTTTCATTGTCTTGTGAGCATGTATTATGGCAGCATAGTCAAATCCTTTCAAGACAAGGTCTACATGTATTTGTATTTTGTAATAAGAACTAGAACCATGAATTGTTTTGTTGTGAATAGTCAGTCAATGTAATATCTGATATTAAACAAACACATTGTATTTCAGTGATTCTGAGATCTGAGATTTAGTGAAAGTTATATCCAGGGTATGACTGGATGAAAATGGCAACTGGAGGTATGCCATACTCAAAGAAGGATTCGAAACAGCGAAGTAACTGGCAGAGATCTACAAGCTACTCGGATCGAGATGATGCTCACAGTCTCAACAGTGTTCCAAATGATGTGCGCATCAACAACTGGGTATGTTATGTTAGCCGTTCTGATGTTGTGTTATTCTTGAACACAGTGCCATGTCTGTTTCAGATTATTGTAACAAATATCCCATAACATGCATATATACATTTATCTGACATTTTGTGGTGTGCTTACATATTATGTTACTTAGTAAGACTGAAGTTCCATCATCAATCTACCAGATTATTAAACTGAAGAAATTATTCCTGTGAGTAGCCGTACAGTTTTTGTTAATTTAAGTTTTACTTTTGGGCAGCTACAGTCAGATCATGATTCTGAATACTAACAAGTCAAATGATAAGTTGAGTTACTTGATCATGTTGAAGACAGGTCTGCTTTCACAATAACAGGATGAGCTGGCAATGTCTTGTTTGTGCCAAGAAAAGAAGTCTTCTTAGTTCCTTTATGAAATGAGTCAACTTTCAGGACAATGGTAACAGGATCTTTACCAAAATGTTGCTATGATCATATATATTGATGAAGTTACAATCCATAAGTGGTTTATCATGTTTGTCATGTGTTAGCTTCTTGGATTTCCCTATCAAACATGTCCTCCATTATTTTCAGACTTTTGCATAAATTATTTTTTAGGATTTCTCTGATTGGCGTCCTAATTCCCAGTCTGTAGATGTAAAGCGTCGGAAGAAATCAAAAGGTAATCCAGAACGAGAACGGGAACAGTCACTTTCGCTTGACTCGCCACCTCACAGAGAAGGTGAGAAGAAGCAGAGGACACCATCTACTTTTCCACGTACAAAGTTCACGCCATCAACACCTACACAGCAGAGGGTTGCATTGGAGAATCTACGCCAACAGCTCACGTTCAGTGATTTTGATGATGTAAGTACGCAAGATATGCAGACAACTTTAGACTTGACATTAGGCTATTCAATGACACTGAAATTCAGATGGAGAATATTTGCCTCTGTTTGATTTGGTTTTGTTTGTTTATAGTTTAACACCGCACCCAGCAATATTCCAGCTGTATAATGGCGGCCTTTAAATAATCTAGACTGGATCAGGCAGTCCAGTGATCAACAGCATCAGCATTGACCTATGCCTTTGCGTGCCAACCAAGTCAGCGAGCCTGACCACCAGATGCCGTTAGTCGCCATATCTGTTTGAAAATTCCCTATTCTGTTTAAGAAAGGTTGAGAATGAGAAAGATTATTATGTATATAACAAACACATTGAAGATGTTCTTTGCTTCTTCAGTCTAAGTAAACTTAGGCTCAGTATTTGGCTCACTGCTATACAGTGTTACGAATAATACTGAGCCTAAGTTTACTTAGACTGTTGCTTCTTGACACTCTTCTGATAAAGAGTGCTTTTGGAAACCTGTCATGTCAAAACCTTTTTATCGAAATGTTCTGATCACATTGCTTTTGTGTGCTTTGTAGCAGTGTAGCACTGATGGCGAGCCAAACAATGAAAGACTAATGAACACACGGAAACGACATGGCTCTAACTACTCCCATCCGGAGAGTGGAAGTCGTGGTGATGGCAGTCATGGTCGAAGAGGGAAGGGTACTGATGCTTCTGCAGCCAGTGGTCAGAGGGAGGTGAGGAGCAACAGAAATAACAACAGAGATGATGCATCCACAAGGGATATTGGGGTATGTAAGATGGGCAATAGAATTTCTCCTCAATATTACACATCCTATTAGAATGAATCAGAAAGGCAGTATACTTTATGGATTAGCACTTCTTTATTAGATAATGTAAGTATTAGGGGTGGGTATTGCAGAGAATTTTCATATTGTGATATATTGCAAGAAGGTTTTTCAACAAAAAAACCTACTTATACTCCAGTTAATGCTTGATTTATAAAGCAAAAACAAAACAAAATCATCATGTTTGATTAAGCTTTAATAACAACTTTTACTCCTGACAAAATAAAAATGTAAATAATATGTGGCACAGATGAAACAAGGCAATATCCGAAGATTTCCAAGTGTTACAAAGTTTTCCGAATGCATGTCAAAATACCGGTTTTCAATCAGCTTATCGCAATACGCATCGTTTTCATGTCTGAACCAGTAAATACCAGTAAACCGGTTATATTGCGCAGCCCTAGTAAGACTGCCATTCTTTAAAATCATCAGCTTCTAAAATGCCAATCAAACAGAATAAATCAGTAGAGAAACCATGGCAAATTTGAACCATCAAATTAGTTGGCATCAATCATAATACCATAACCAGGATGTTTAAGTAATGTTAGGATTGATGAATAACAATGAAAACCAATGATTTTGCATTTTATTGATATTAGGTCCTGATTGAGATTGTCTCTTTCAGCCTGACAGTAATCAAATCGTGGGGCGACTGATGCAGATTCGAGACTACATCAAGCAGGCCAACTCAATGGTGGATAACCTGAAGAAGAGAGGGGATCCTGTAAGTTCAAGGACACAGATTTTCAATACAAGTTAGCATTGATGAATTTGATAAGCGTGGATTTAGAAAGTAAAGAGCAATGAGAATAATATATTCTCTGCCAAGAACAATATAAGTATTTGCAAATTTATCATTCAATGAATCCATGAAGATCCAGTTTCGAATTGATGTTCAGTAATTCATGCTTGTCGTAAGAGACGACTGACGGGATCAATTGGTCAGGCTTGCTGACTTGGTTGACACATGTGAATTTAGTCATGAATTTGCATGTGAGTGTGTCCCAGTACTGTCTCTCATTAAGATTTGCTTACAATTTGTTGTTTTTCTGATATCTATACTGTTTATGGCAAAATGGGTAAAATAATGATATATGATGCATTTGTGGTCTTCTTCAAAACCAGTTGCATGATCAATATTGTCCCAAGAGCTTAATGAACGAGAAACAGATGCTATCTCTAACTTTTTGTTACAACCAGCTCTAATCCAAGTCACCTCAAAGTTTGTTCAGTTGATTGTGACGTTGAAGAAAAAGTTAAACATAGATGAAAAGCTCATGTTTTGTTAGAAGCTTTAGGAAAAATTCTCTTTCAAAGAGTATATCTTATTACATTATAGGGTGACCTACAGAAAGCCAGTAAATTATCACAAGTGATCTCATCCCTCAAGGAACAAGAGCTTACATCTCTGGACAACTTGCAGAAGCTCTGGGTTAGTACTATAGTTTTAATTGGTTGTGTTCGTTTGTTATAGAAATCTTATAAGGAAGACTTGGAAAAGTTGAAAACCCTTATAGACAATCTGAAAGAGCAGGAACGAGGCTACATGGGCCTGCTTCAGAGGACTCTGGTGAGTAGGGGGAGGGGTATAAGGTGGTGTTCTATAGTAGAACTTGACTCTTTTCTGGAGTTAATGTCTTCCTGAAATTTCTTTTTAGAAAGCATGACTTTGTGAAAGGTTTTTCTGAAGTTGAATGTTTCTCTTCTATTTGGGTCAAGATGCATGGGTCAGTGCTAATTCTATTAAAATGCTTGATGTTTAATATTTGAACATACATGCACAAGTCTTTCTTCTATGTTGTGTATGCTATGGCCAAGAGCTTACAAATAGTACTTTTCATCATTTATTTATAAAGTAAACTTTTTTTTCTATTTCTGTCTTTAATGTTTCTGTTTCTTGAATGGAGCAAATGCGA